GTGTGTATGTGTGTGTGAGTGTGTGTATTTGTGTGTAAGTGTGTGTATGTGTGTGTGAGTGTGTGTATGTGTGTGTATGTGTTTGTAAGTATGTGTGTGTGTGTGTATGTATGTGTGTTTGTAAGTGTGTGTGTTTGTGTGTGTGTGAGTCCGTGTATGTATGTGTGTGAGTGTGTATGTGTGTGTGAGTGTGTGTATGTGTGTGAGTGTGTGTATGTGTGTGTATGTGTTTGTAAGTATGTGTGTGTGTGTGTATGTATGTGTGTTTGTAAGTGTGTGTGTTTGTGTGTGAGTCCGTGTATGTATGTGTGTGAGTGTGTATGTGTGTGTGTATGTGTGTGTGAGTGTGTGTATGTGTGTGTGAGTGTGTATATGTGTGTGTATTTGTGTGTGAGTGTGTGTATTTGTGTGTGAGTGTGTATGTGTGTGAGTGTGTGTATTTGTGTGTGAGTGTGTATATTTGTGTGTGAGTGTGTGTATTTGTGTTTGAGTGTGTGTGTGAGTATGTGAGTGTGGCTGTGTGTTGGTTGGTATCAGGAATCTTTTTTCATTGCTCATCCTTTGTTTAGAGAGAGACTTATTTATTTTTATTCTATATGCATATACACTCCATGCATGCAGTGCCCTCAGAGGCTAGAAGAGGGCATCAGATTTCCAAGAACTGGAGTTACAGACTTGTGTGATTCGCACAGGTGCTGAGAACTAAACCTTGTCATCCACAAGAGTAACAAGTGCTTCCTAACCTCTCAGCCGTCTGTCTAGCCCTCCACCATGTTCTGAGACAGGGTCTCTCACTGAACCGGCAGCACACATATCCACAGTCTCTCCCCTGACCCCAGGTATGGAGTTACAGGCTCTGAGCCATTACAGTCAGCGTTTACAGATGTACTGGAGATGCAAGTCGGGCTCTCCTGGGACAAGCACTCTCCCCACTGAGCCATCTTCCCCGTCCCTCCCGTTCAAGAATTCCCATCCAAAAATTTAAAAAGGATGAAATATGTATTAGCTAAAGAGCTACATATAAAAATATGCAATGTCCCAGGAGCCACGCATACATATAGGATGTGTCCTGAGGCCTTGTTCAGGAGATTGCAGGGAGGGACAGGGGTCAGGAGAGTCTTGAAATTACAATGCTTAACATGGACAGTAATGGGGAACTTGTTCGGGAATGACGGAAGTCATCCATGGTAGATAAGGGGGCTCTGTGATGTACAAAATATTGAGGAAATGATTCCTCTATTTAGAAGCAGAGAAGGACATGCATTTTTGTGCAGTGGGACAGAGAAACAGTGGGCTGGCAGCATGGAAGGCTGAGGGATAGAGCATGGTTGTTGCTGGGAATTTCCCACTGATCTTACTTCTCATCTCCGTCTATGAGGCGGCAGTAGGTCTCGATCTCCTTCTCCAGGTGGGCCTTGATATCCAGCAGCTGCTCATGTTCCAGCTTCTGGCCCTCGGTCTCTGTCCTCACCTGGTGCAGCTGCTCCTCCAGGGCGCTGATCTGAGCCTGGATATGAGCCAGCTGCGAGCAGTAGTTGCCCTCGGTCTCCGCCAGGGAGCACTCCAGAGAGTGTTTCTGATGCATCAAAGATCATAGTAAGGGATGAGATCACCAGAGGAGTACCCAGCCCTGGGTTTCTCAGCATCCTGAAGGACAACCCCTCGGGCAGGTTAGGGGCTTGTCAGCATAGAAGGAGAGGTGGAGCCTGTTATTAACCCTGTGGTGAACAGGCACTGAATGGCCTGACAAGGGGTAAATGATCCCTACCCCAAGACTTTATTTTAACATTTACCTGTGTGTGTGTGTCTGTGTGTGTGCTTGTGAGTGTGTGTGTGTGTGTGTGTGTGTGTATAAGCATGTGCCACAGCAAACGTGGAGATGACAGGACAACCTGCAGGAATTGATTCTTTCCTTCCACCGTATGAGTTCCTGGGATCAAACTCTCGTCATGAGCTTTGGCAGCAAGTGCCCTTACCCTCTGAGGCATCTCACTACCTGCCCCCCTCCCCATCCCTATGCCGAGGACAAGATATTTGACTGTTAAGACTTTGGTAACAGTTTCTGTTAAGACAAATATGTATATAAAAGCACTTTTGGGGGACAACACAGTAAGAAATCCACACAGGATGATTTATATTTTAAATCAGTTTGGGGGGTTGCCTGTTATACCAAAACCTCGCTCCTCAACAGTTTGAATCCTAGACCCCTGGACTGTTGCTTTTCTTTGTGATCCATTCTCGATTTTCTGTCATTCTCCAGAGTCCTCTTTTTAAAGCTGTTCAGACTGAATCAATCATTTAGGAGGGTGGGCTCTCCAGGGCGGCACTCATCACGTGCAGACATGGTGTCCACATAAGTCCTAGGAGTATCTCACTTCCTCTCTCCTTCATAGACTGTAATTTTTCCTGCCCCATGATTCCTACTTCAATTATGGTAATTTCCCTCCTTGTCTTATCGTACGTAAGTATATGTGTCCGGGCAGTTACTACCTCTGATATTAATCATTATCGGAATGTCTACTGCCTCTTCCACTCTGTCATTTCCCTTCTCTTCCTGTGGCATGACTGCTGCTCTTACATCTCAGGACATAAGGCCTCTGTCAGAAGGTGATGCAAGCTCTGCCTGGCAGTTTTGGAGACAGTGTCGTTCAAGCACTTATGTAATAAGTGCATTTCAATTTTAAATGCTCTCTCTGAGAGGGGGGGAGGGGGGGAGAGGACACTCTAGGGTATCATTCCTCAGGTGATACTTTTTTCTTTTTCTGTTTCCTTCCTCCTTTCTCTCTCTCTCTCTCTCTCTCTCTCTCTCTCTCTCTCTCTCTCTCCCTTCCTTCCTTCCTCCCCCTCTCTTCCTTCCTTCCTTCCTTCCTTCTTTCCTCCCCCTCTCTTCCTTCCTTCCTTCCTTCCTTCTTTCCTCCATCCCTCCCTTCCTTTCTCCCCTTCTTTCTTTCTCTCTCTCTCCCTCTTTCTTTCTTTCTCTCTCTCTTTCCCTTTCCTTTCTTTCTTTCTTTCTTTCTTTCTTTCTTTCTTTCTTCCTTCCTTTCTTTCTTTCTTTCTTTCTCTTTCTTTCCTGGCGGCCTGGGACTCACTGATTAAGCTTCACTGGCTGCTCAGTGATCCCAGGGATCCTCCTGTCTCTACTTTCCGTCACTAGGATTCCAAGCTCATGCCATCATGCCTGGCTTCTTTTACATGAGTCTTAGAGATCAAATTCATATCCTTATTTATGTTTGCCTGGCAAGCCCTTTACCAACTGAGCTGTCTCTCAGCTCCCTAGCTTACTTCTTTATTGTATTATAATTTTAAGGATAAGTTTGTGGATCACCAAGTATATGATGTATTGACTCAATCCTAGAATTGCAAAGGAGGAGTTATGTAGTAAGATATTCATCATGACAGGAATGCACCCAAGGGTCTAACAGGGCTGAGACCCTTAGGATGCTGATTTACACTGACTGCTGCATTTGGACAGACTCCTGGGCTCTCCAGGAACATGTGAGCAGAAGGGGATGGATATGGTAATGAGAAAGAAAAGGTGCAGACCAGCAAGATGTCAGGGAGGGGCATAACCACATTTCAAAGCCTTAAAGCCTTTCTTCCCTAGGATACTTTATAAGACGGCTAATACCCTGGGAAGCCAGAGTGGGCAGCATCTCTCTTAACTGCCTTCCACTGGGAAGGTTGGGTGCTGATGATAAAGAACCAGATGAACTTGGAAGTCTGAATAACACAGGAAGCAAACATGTGGACGTTTATATACAGATTACCCCCAACCTATAATTAACTTGTGTTCTCCCTGTGGGAAACTGAACTTGGAATTTATCTTGACTGAAGAATCTCAGGTATGGAAGCTAGGTTACTAGTATTACTTTATAGCTTGGTTACAATGGCTGTTAAATGGCTTTTGGGTGGGGGTTAGGTTATTTCCTGACCCCAAAACATTACTTCCGGGATGGGTAATCTGAACTGAGAATCTAACTGCTTCGTGTATCATTGCTTCTATGTGAAAATGCTTCTAATTCTGATGAGGACAGTTGGGAATTTATTTCCTATCCCGTTTTTCAGAAACACAGGGAGGATTCATCCCTGCAGCGGCAGAAGATCACGCAGGGTTCTGATGGTTTCAGGGAAGAGGGAATTCGAAGGGCTAGAGAGGCCACTGAGCTGAGAGGGGAAGAGGGGCATTCTGGGTAAGCTGGGGCTCAGCCAAAGGTACCTTCGGTCTAAATACTACGTAGTGGCAGAGCACTGTGTCTGTGTTTTCAGGTTGGCTAACCCAAAAGATCTTTACTACTTTACAAAAGATCTAGTCTACTGAGCCATAGTTTCCTTTGTGGCTGGCTCACTGTTCTGATTTGCACAGTAGCTTTCTCTTTGTTCATGCGATACCCTAGTGTCTTCAGAGTTTACAAAACCTCTTGTGAGGATGGGGAAATCCTTGGGCCACATGCTTGCCACAATTTTCAAAGTCAAGCCTTTTGGATGCTGCCAGCTCACAGTCTCGAAAGAAAGTAGGTTTCTAGGTTGTTACCATGGTAACTGTTGAAGTCTTCTCCATGGCCCAGATGTTCCTAAGAGGCTGAGTGCCAGGCTGTGGGGTGTGTACTGAGGATGACAACTTTACTAATGTAGGGTGAGAAGACAGATAGCATCCATGTCTGGGTTGGTGTTACCTTTCTTTAAATAAATATTTTACGTGTATGGCTGTTTTGCTTGTATGTATGTGCACCCCATGTACACAATGTCTGCAGAAGACAGAATAGGGGATCAGATACCCTGAAACTGGAGCTACTGATAGTTGGTAGCTGCCACATAGGTGCTGGGAATTAGATTTGGGTTCCCTGAAAGAGTAGGTTCTTTTAACTGCAGAGCTAACTCTCCAGTCTTGTGTACTTTCCCTTAATATGCCTTTCCGAGTGTTCGGAGAGGATGGTGTGAACCATCTTGGCCTGTGTGGACAAAGAAGGCTGGTCCTAGCCCTTAATGTTTTAACCGAAACACTGCCCAGCACGCTCTGGGGTTTTGAATGAACCATGTGCAAGGTGGAACTGGGTGCCAGGCTGGTTCTTTTACCACAATGAACTCTGGGCGCCATCCAGGAAGGGACTTATTAGCAGAATCAAGAAGTATGTGAGGAAGACACTGTCTCTTTTTGTCTCCTAGGATGCTTTTCCTGCTGTTCCTCTCCCCTACCCCCACCCCCCACCCCCGCGCTCCTTTCAGTAAGCACTTGTTATAGGAAAGAAAAGAAAGGCTTCTCTTAGTTTTTTGGGAACCAGGAAGCGCGGGTGTGGGTGCAGGCTCAGGTGGCCTGGGGTCAGCACCTACCGTCGCTGAGAGTGATTGCAGCTCGATCTCCAGCGTCTGCAGGGAGCGCTTCAGCTCTGTCAGCTCAGTCCTGGCCGAGGTGGCGGCGCCCAAGTCATTGGAGATCTGCTGCTGCAGTGTGGCGCTCTGGAAGACAGGGTGCACAGGGTCACATCGAATCTGGCCTCTAGCGTGGAATCGACAGAGCAAGTCTGGCTCCCCTCACCTTCTCTTGGAACCAGGCCTCGGCATCCCTGCGGTTCTGTTCAGCCAGGGCCTCATACTCGGCTCTCATGTTGTTCAGCAGGACGGTGAGGTCCACGCCCGGGGCTGCGTTCATCTCCACATTTACGTTGCCTCCGGCTGCACACTGCAGAACCTTCATTTCCTAAAGTGACATGCAAGTGACTGTTCATATGCCATCTGAGAAGGGTTTAGGGGTCCCAAAGTTTCCAGAGTAATGAATCATTTATGGATACTATTTAATCTGTGTTCAGGGCTTTCGTCCATTCATTCATCCACCTTCCTTCCTTCCTTCCTTCCTTCCTTCCTTCCTTCCTTCCTTCCTTCCTTCCTTCCTTCCTTGTTTTTATGAGAAAAGGTCTCACTCTGTAGCCCAGACTAAACTGGAACTTACTATATAACCCAGGCTGGGCCTTGAATTAGGGAATTATCCTGCCTCAGTCTCCCAAATGCTGGGATTATTATAAAGTTGAACCAGAGGGTAATGGCACAGGCCTTTAATCCCAGCACTCGGGAGACAGAGGCAAGTGGATCTCTGTGAGTTTGAGGCCAGCCTGGTCTACACAGTGAGTTCCCAGACAGCCAAGGCTACACAGAAAAACCCTGTCTCAGAAAACCAAGAAAAAAAAATGGTTAAACCACTACACTAGGCCCAACCAAACCAGTGGCCAGTGAGATGGATCAACTGGTAAATGTGATCTGTGCCAACCAACCTGAGTTCAACTCTGAGACCTAGAGGGTAGAAGAAGAAAACCAGCTCCTGAAAGTTGCTCTGACCTCCACAGACATACTGTGGCATGTGCATGGTCTTCCCCCACCAGATAAATAAAATATAATTTAAAAAGACAATCACAACTACCACTTAGAAAAAGAATATGAAAGGAATTACAAAGACCAGAGGGTTTGTTCAACAGATAATTGCCAACTATTGGGTTGATGGGACCAGAATGGTGGAAAACTCAGCCTCACCCCTCCAGTCCCAGCCAATGTGGAGTCTTCACCCAAGGGACACAGTCATTTACTGAATGAGCATGGCATGCTAGAGGCTGCTCTGAGCATGTGCTACAAGTCTGAGCATCCTTATGAGGTTGACACTCCCTTCACAGATGAGGACACTGGAGCACAGAGAGGAGAAACTCGTCTAAGTTGCTTGCTGAGATCTGGTCAGAAGGGAGAATGGACAGAGGTTTTAGGGCTCCCAGCTCCTAAACACCCGTTCTTAGTGGCTACACCCTCCGGCTATGACACCCTGGGTTCTGGAGCAAAGCAATGGTCTGCACTAGTCAATTGAGTAGCTGACCTTTTCATTTGGATTTCAAAGTGTTGATATCTCAGGTTTCTCCCTGACAGAGACTTGCTATGTAGCCCAGGCAGCCCTCCAGTGACCATGCCCCTGCCTGCGTCTACTTCCTAAGTGCTGAGATTACAGGTGCGTACCGCCACACTTGGCCGACTTTTGTTTTCTTAAACCAGATTTTTATTTCATTTAAATCTGACTTCCTAGTTAAGCTATCTATCTATCTATCTATCTATCTATCTATCTATCTAATCTATCCATATGTATATATCTTCCCTAAAAAGCTACTATTAATGTATTTCTGTATTTTAAAGTTTTCTGTAAGATTCCATATGAAGGAAAATTCCTGTTGCTGTGGATTTTCAAAATCAAACTACTTGCAGGTAGCCTGACAGCACCCACCACAGAGAGGGTAGTAAATGCTCTCAGGGTAGTACAGTGTGAGCAGTTTTCTACCCCACCCTCAGTGCAGCCAAAGCCGCCTTCTTTCCCATGCTGTGTCTTTTAAAGGACTTAGATCTTGCAGTGTTTCCACCTTTCCCCATGCTTGTCATTTCTTCTCTTCCCTCCCCTGGTTTCCTTGATGGGGGGTGGGGCATCACTGTCCTGCCAAGCACCCCTGTGGCCTTGTTCCAGTGCTATGATGTACATACAATCTCTCTCTCTCTCTCTCTCTCTCTCTCTCTCTCTCTCTCTCTCTCT